CATAAATGGATCAATCCATTCATGTGGTACCATCTTCACAATCTAATCACCTCTTTAAAAACCACTTTTCAGTTACCTTTGTAGGATTTCACACCTCAACACTGTTAAGTTCTAATACATGAACCTTTGGGGGACACATTCAACCCATAGCAATTACCTATGAGTAGTATCCAGTAGGTGGGAAATCTTTGTACTTAGATGTACTACATTTGTAGAATTTACTCAAATAGGTTACCAGATGGTTCTACATGACAAAATTAGTGATGATATTACTATTAGGAGCAAAAATTAGGAATTATTTTTGTTCAGACTTTAGATATGACTAGAGAGTAATACAGAAGAGAGGAAAAAGAAATTTCTTGTATTATTTTGTCTTGTCTACTGAGAATTCCTTAAAAGTGATAGGTTTTAAACTAAAGAAATTGCATTTATTCTCTTTCCCAAGGTGACTTCTTTGAGTCACAACTAGAAAAGTGACTGTAAAAACCAGGCTTCATGTGATTATTAAGACAATTAACAAGCCTTTACTCTCTTGTAACCTAGAGCAGTGTTTCTCAAAATTTAATGTTTATGTGAATCATTTGGGGATCTTTTAAAAATGCAGATTCTGAATCAGTAGGTATGGAATGGGTCCTCAGATTCTGCATGTCTAAAAAGCTCCAAGGTAATGCTAATTATGTTTTGAAAACATGGCCCTATGCTAGTATTGAGGTAAGAAACAAGTACCATTCTCTGAAACAGCGGTCCTAGTAAATGTAGCCAACAGGAAACATAACTACATCCATTGGTAACTCTAGAGGGCATCACTGGTTTACAGTTCAATACAGTGAATGACCTTTAGGTTTTCTCAAAATAATAGGTTTGCTAACTTGTTTACTGAGGTGATGAAATGTAATTTTTTTTTTTTTTTGTCTTTTTTCGTGTCCGGCAACGGATCGCAACCCTCAGTGTCNTTTTAAAAAAAAATATGCCAGATTTTACATCTAATCGCATATTAATCTTCTTCAGAGGAGATGATACTTATTTCAAACCTTTTATCTTTTATGTAGCTTTTTAAAAGTAGCCTTGATTACTGTATTGGTCTCTTTCTGTTGCTTATAACAGAATATCTGAAATTGGGTAATTTATAAAGAAATAGAACTTATTTCTTATAGTTCAGAGGCTGGGAAGTTCACAGTCCAGGGAGCACATCTGGTGAGGGCCTTCTGGTAGTGACTCTCCACAGCAGTACAGGGTATCACATGGCAAAGGGGCTGAGCAAGAGAGAAAGCTAACCTCTTTACTTGATCTACTTTTAAAGCCAATTGAAACCGTTCCTGTTACTATCCATTAAACCATCAACTTATTACTCCATAAATGGATCAATCCATTCATGTGGTACCATCTTCACAATCTAATCACCTCTTTAAAAAAAAACCACTTTTCAGTTACCTTTGTAGGATTTCACACCTCAACACTGTTAAGTTCTAATACATGAACTTTTGGGGGACACATTCAACCCATAGCAATTACCTATGAGTAGTATCCAGTAGGTGGGAAATCTTTGTACTTAGATATACTACATTTGTAGAATTTACTCAAATAGGTTACCAGATGGTTCTACATGACAAAATTAGTGATGATATTACTATTAGGAGCAAAAATTAGGAATTATTTTTGTTCAGACTTTAGATATGACTAGAGAGTAATGAAGAAGAGAGGAAAAAGAAATTTCTTGTATTATTTTGTCTAGTCTACTGAGAATTCCTTAAAAGTGATAGGTTTTAAACTAAAGAAATTGCATTTATTCTCTTTCCCAGGGTGACTTCTTTGAGTCACAACTAGAAAAGTGACTGTAAAAACCAGGCTTCATGTGATTAT